GAATCATCACGAATTTCCATCATAGTATCTTAGAAATGAAATGCTGGAATGATCATGAACAACCATCATCCCAATATAAGAATTCGGACTGATTTATGATGGTCCTACATAAGAATAGAAACTTGTTTTGATGTTTCTGTTCATGTTGAATCATCACGAATTTCCATCATAGTATCTTAGAAATGAAATGCTGGAATGATCATGAACAACCATCATCCCAATATAAGAATTCGGACTGATTTATGATGGTCCTACATAAGAATAGAAACTTGTTTTGATGTTTCTGTTCATGTTGAATCATCACGAATTTCCATCATAGTATCTTAGAAATGAAATGCTGGAATGATCATGAACAACCATCATCCCAATATAAGAATTCGGACTGATTTATGATGGTCCTACATAAGAATAGAAACTTGTTTTGATGTTTCTGTTCATGTTGAATCATCACGAATTTCCATCATAGTATCTTAGAAATGAAATGCTGGAATGATCATGAACAACCATCATCCCAATATAAGAATTCGGACTGATTTATGATGGTCCTACATAAGAATAGAAACTTGTTTTGATGTTTCTGTTCATGTTGAATCATCACGAATTTCCATCATAGTATCTTAGAAATGAAATGCTGGAATGATCATGAACAACCATCATCCCAATATAAGAATTCGGACTGATTTATGATGGTCCTACATAAGAATAGAAACTTGTTTTGATGTTTCTGTTCATGTTGAATCATCACGAATTTCCATCATAGTATCTTAGAAATGAAATGCTGGAATGATCATGAACAACCATCATCCCAATATAAGAATTCGGACTGATTTATGATGGTCCTACATAAGAATAGAAACTTGTTTTGATGTTTCTGTTCATGTTGAATCATCACGAATTTCCATCATAGTATCTTAGAAATGAAATGCTGGAATGATCATGAACAACCATCATCCCAATATAAGAATTCGGACTGATTTATGATGGTCCTACATAAGAATAGAAACTTGTTTTGATGTTTCTGTTCATGTTGAATCATCACGAATTTCCATCATAGTATCTTAGAAATGAAATGCTGGAATGATCATGAACAACCATCATCCCAATATAAGAATTCGGACTGATTTATGATGGTCCTACATAAGAATAGAAACTTGTTTTGATGTTTCTGTTCATGTTGAATCATCACGAATTTCCATCATAGTATCTTAGAAATGAAATGCTGGAATGATCATGAACAACCATCATCCCAATATAAGAATTCGGACTGATTTATGATGGTCCTACATAAGAATAGAAACTTGTTTTGATGTTTCTGTTCATGTTGAATCANTTTTTGCAATAACCGACCCTATTTGCCCAAATTCATAAAAACGAACCCTGGTTGAAAGAATTGATTAATTTTTTCACAAGTTCACGAAAAACGGACCTTTCACAAAATGTCTGGACAGACCCCTGGTTTCTGTGCCTGACTTCGTAACATAAATTTTCGACGGTCTGGGAAACATCCCTGAGGATAATCCGAAGACATGCCATCACAATTTTGATCCTCTGCCGAGGGGATGGCACCCTCGCTTCGGTAGCCCAACGACCTGCACGCGAAGTCAAGCACTTTACGGTAGAACAGTTTAACGAGGACCAAATACCGCACACCTTCGGCCCCTACGCAGATTGATCCAAGTGAAGTGGTCACCCACCCGCACACTGACTGCAGCCAGTGATGCTTGACTTCGGTGATCTGCTGGGAACCGTGTCTTAACGATCAGTTCACTGCAGGACAATATAAATAAAAAGAAGAAATGCGATATGGGAATTCAGAGCCTTTTACTCTTATTTTCTTAAGCATGGAAATGCATTTTTTTGTTTGCACTCTTATTTAATCCAATGTAAAAAGTAAATAAATTAAATAAATAAAAAAACAAAAGACGAAAAGAAAAATTATCAAAAAAAAAAATTGTTGTAAAAGAAATCTTTCACAAACTAATTATTTACACTTACTAAAACTACTAAATTACTTAAACTTACAAACTAATTATTTCAAGATTATTAGAAAGATTCAATTAATAAAGCTAAAATAATTTCAATTTTCTTATTTATGATTATGTATTGCTCTTCCCGATGACTAACATTAGCAGATTGAAGAAAACATATTTTTAGAAGTTCATGTCATATAAAGAACTTTTCTTCGGTACTTATCCTTTTTGAGGGAGGAGTTTTCTGATCTAGAATACCGTTATCACAGTACTTAGTACATTTGGAATCTATTGGATCAACATCAATTACTGTAATACTAGTAATAACAAAATTAATTTGGCGTCCATTATAGAAGGGTGTTTTTTTTAATTATTTTTCTTTGTAGATTACAGCAAAATGCAACGATATTGCACGGTAAGCTTGAAAATATATTATTTAAAAAAATTTCTCGCAGGCTGTAATAGAAGGTTCTAAAAGTATTGTAGATTAAATTTGACTGTGGCCAATGTAAATAGTATTATTTTATTCAAAAGGGAGAAAAAAGATGAAAGAAACACCAAACGATATTTAATTACGTTAGATCTTTCTTAAAGAAGGAGCGGGGATTCAAAAGCAGGTCAAAGACTTCAAATGTCGCTACAAATAGACAATATCATTTGTTTTTCACATTGATTATTTGTCTCTTCGTTATCGCCGTGATCGTATAGTGGTTAGTACATTGCGTTGTGGCCGCAATAACCCAGGTTCGAATCCTGGTCACGGCAATCTTTTTGCATGTTTTTATTTATTTATTTTTTGCTCTTTTTTTATATCTATTTACGAGGATGTTTGCAGAAAAAGTGGTAGAATACCTACTTTTCAAAGTATTTTTATTAAAATCCGTTATCTTCAAATAATTCTTATCTTCTTTAAAAAGAAAAAAAAAATTGTGCTTTTCAAAGTACTTTTGCTTATCATCAAGAAGATTTGTTATCTTCGAAGCATTATTATAATCATTATTATAAGTTTTACTTTTCAAAACTTTACTATTATCTTTAATATTTATTCTTAGGCACACGTTAACCCAGGTTTGTTAACACGTTTAACTGCTGTCACAAATGCATATTATTTGATATTGATTATTTGTCTCTTCGTTATCGCCGTGATCGTATAGTGGTTAGTACATTGCGTTGTGGCCGCAATAACCCAGGTTCGAATCCTGGTCACGGCAATCGTTTTTCATGTTTTAATTTATTTATATTTTGCTTTTTTTATATCTATTTGTGGGGATATTTATAACAAAAGTGGTAGAATACCTACTTTTCAAAGCATCTTTATTAAAATCCGTTATCTTCAAATAATTCTGATCTTCTTTAAAAAGAAAAGAAAAAAATTCGGGGTTTTCAAAGTATTTTTACTTATCATCAATTTTTATCTTCAAAGCATTATTATAATCATTTTTAATAGTCTTACTTTTCAAAATTTTACCATTATCTTTAGTATCTGTTCTTAGGCACAAGCGTCTTATTAGGTGTTGTGGCCGCAATAATCCAGGTTCGAGTCCTGGTTTCAGCAAACTTCTCGAATGTTGCTTTTATTTTTTACAATTAAAGAGATACTACATCAGAAGTAACAAAATATGTAAGACTTTCTCATCTTTCTCATTGTTCACCACAAATAATTTGAAATTAGTAAAAAAAAACGTATTCCTGAACTATGTTGATATATTTTAAAATTTGATAATACCGATAAAAAAAAAAATTCTTAGAGGAATAAGGAAAATAAGAAGGAGTAATGATTTTCGAATTGTTCATTAATTTGATTAACGTTGTTATGAAAAAGTATCTTTGATGTATGTCGTAAGCACCATGCCTTGAGAAATGGCCGTTTTTTTGATTTTCAATCCAATTACAGGTTTTTATAATATTAATAAATGATATCAGACAAGAATGTTTTTATTTCAAACGAAATTTTAACTATCAAATGTTTTTGACATTACAACTTACCTTCTGTATTTATTCAAAGTGGTATAAAAATTGCAATCCTCATACTTTCCTGCTTCATTAAATTAAAAAGTGGCAGCAAACTTATTTTATTTTTAATATTCATCCTATAGAAGCAAATCATTCATTCGCACCGCAATCTAAAGAAGAATCGGACCGTAATCGTTATGGTGGGAAAAACCAAGCTCCGTCTTTTTGGATTGAACTATTGCTGCTATTTATAAAAAATAGTTAACTGTATCACACAACTTACACTGGTTTATTGAATTATACAACTCACATAGATTTAATTGAACTACATTATTTTCACAGGTTTAACTCTATTTTACAATCTACACAATTTTAACTCTATTTCACAATCTACGCAGTTTTAACTCTATTTCACAATTTACACAGTTTTAACTCTATTTCACAATTTACACAGTTTTAACTCTATTTCACACCTTACACAGATTCAAACGTATTGCGCAACTACACAGGTTAACTACATTATTGATATACTATAGCGAACACGAATGTCTTGTTTTTTTTCAAGAAAAATTTTAAGAATAAAATAATTAAGTTACCAGTTTTTTTCTTTTTGAAAAAAAAATTTATCGGAACGTTGGTAATGGGTTCAATAAGCTTTTAAGCTTTATGAAACAAGAAATGAATATTGAGGCATAAATTATGCTACCGCTTAAATAATAAATAATTCGCGAGAAAAATCGGAAAATTGTTTAAAATTTGAAAAATTCAAAACAGCATTCACATTCACATGACTTACGAGAATTAGCCTTCAATCAGCTTTATGAAACAAGAAATAAATAGCGAGGCATAAATTTTTCTGCGGCTTAAATAATTCGCGAGGAAAATCGGAAAACTGTTGTAAATTTGCATGTGAATTAACATTCAATCAGCGTTATGAAAAAAGAAATAAATATCGAGGCATAAGATTTTCTACCGCTTAAATGATAAAAATAATTCGTGAGGAAAATCGGAAAAGTTTTTTGAATTTGATAAATTTAGAGCTAAAAAATAGAAGTTAAATATTTAACCTCAATAATGTGTCAACATTTCCGGAGATTCTGGAGTTTCAGAACTACTGTTCTAAAACTAACTTTCACTCTCAGTGTGTCATTCTCATTTTACAACGTGTAAACAAACGCTCAAAAGATTTCTTCTCGCAATAAAGCTCGTTCCATAAACACCGGAAAATAGCTGTAAAACATATTTAACATCTTTTGCGACGGCTACCATTAAGTGAAATAGAACAGTTACATGGCCCCATTGGACTATCGCCAACAAAGACAGAGCTTAAAGACGTCCCATAAATTACCCCTTCCGCTTATAAAAACAGTTGATTTCGGACAAAATAGCTTATAATTTTCACCGCGGTGGCTTTTATACAAGTGAGCAAACCACACGGACCGTGAAAACAATTGGGAAGACTGAAATCGTTTTCGCAATGAAAGATAATAGAGTCACGTGATGTGGGTAAGAAATTCATTGCGTTTAGACGCAGTTTTTATCCAATCTATATCATCCAGTCTTACGTCCGGTGTATGCGTAGGTCGATTCCTATGTAATTTTGCATAATTTATTTATTATTAGTTTTTAATTTTGAGAAACGAACATGCCGGTACTTTGTAAAAGCATCTAATTTGGTGATATAAAAAGCTTCGATTTATTAATTTACATAATTTAGTACTTTCAATTCACGTAGTTTAGTTATCATGGTGGCATAATTTATTATTTCATTATTAGTTTTTATCTTGAAGAAATCATAAATGTAGAAAATTAGTTTTTATCTTGAAGTTTTTATCATGTCGGTCCACCATAAAGGCTTCTAATTTAGTAACGTAAAGCTTCTAATTTGGGTCTGTTATCATAGAATTGTAATTTTTTTAAATGCTTAACTTATGTTAAGTGCGCCAAAAAAAGAAGACTGACTACCCTGAATAAATTTTGATTTATTGATCGGATATTCAAGTTCCAGAACTCAAACTTAATGGCTCAAGGGGCTTACCTCAAATATGTTACTAGTGTAGACGAAATTTTAAGTTACAAAATCAGGCACAAAAACGTACTTTCTCTGAATAAACATACTTTTTTCCCGACGGATTCGGATTTCTGATCTCCAACATATAGGGGGTAGCCACAATCTGAGAAATATGGTCACCATAGTTTGGCCAGGAAAGCGATCCAAACGTTAGGATCCCATTATGTTAATTTTACTTTTTGCGCGTTTCGCCATATCTCGAGAACTTTTTAAGCGAATTGAAAATTTTTTGCAGTCAAATATAAAATTTGTTTCTACAAAAGTTCCATGCAAAAAATAAATTTTAATAAATATAGTCGTAAAAATTTAGTTATTTTAATAATAGTTGAAAAAATTTCGAATTGTAAGGTATAAAATTTCTTACTTCATTTTAAAGTATGTTATTTTACACGGCAAAGTACAAAATTCGTGCGAAATCGGTCGAATAGTTCCCGAGAAATCAAATTTTAAATATACGACTTTTTTAAAATTCGATCCATTTTTAAACTCGAACCCATTAAGTGTGAGTCCTTGAACTTGAAGATTCAATCATTAGATTAAAACTTATTGAGGATGGTCTTTTTTTTTTAGCGTACTGTACAATCTGATAAAATAATCACTTAATTTAAACATTTATGTACTATGTTAAAAAAGGAAAAAAAAACGATCGTCTGAGTTATTTTGATCTTTACAGGATAATCACATAATATGATACAATCTTAATTGTTCGAGTGCTTAACCTTAAATTATCACATAATATGATACAAGATTATGATACAGAATACATATGATATGATACAGGATTATCACGCTTAATTTATCACATAATATAAAATATTATGATACAAGATACAGAATAATCACATAATATGATACAAGATTATGATACAGGATACAGATGATATGATACAGGATTATCACGCTTAATTTATCACATAATATAAAATATTATGATACAGGATACAGATGATATGATACAGGATTATCGCACTTAATTTATCACATATTATGATGCAAGATTATGATACAGGATACATATGATATGATACAGGATTATCACATAGTATGATTCAATCTTAATTGTTCGAGTGCTTAATCTTAAATTTTTTAAGTAACATGTATGGATGCTATTTTAAATTGTAGAATCAGAAATAAAAAGCTACTCTCTTTTAATAGATATACTTTTTTTCTGTTGTTGATGGATTTAGATTCTTAATCCTCCAAATAGAAGGGCTGTAGCCACAATCTAGAAAATATGGTCTTAATAGCTCAGTCAGATGAGCCGTAATTTCATTTTTTGTGTACTTAAAAACTTCACTTTTATTTATATAGTTTTATTACTAGCTTCATTGCTCAGAAGGTTGATTTCGTTCAAATTTTGAATTTCGTAATTAAATACTACTACGCTCTAAATAAAGTTGAAAATCGTACACCTCCCAATTCAAAAGTTTTCCGTCCAAAATAAATAATAAAAATTATAAATTATTATCAAAAGCTTTATTTTACATGGAATTATTTTTGGAGTAAAGGAGTTTTATAATTGTATGTAAACATATTTTGATTCGTTTCAACAGTTTTAAAAGATATAGCAAAATACACGATAAGCGAAATAAACGGTAAACGGCACCAGCTTTTTTAATTTTAATATTTTTTCAGATTCCCCATATTCATTCCCCATATTTTTGGAGGTGACCTAATAAAAATTTTTGCATTATTATCGTTATACCAAAATTTTTAATATTGCATTATTGATCATAAAATTGCACAAAATATTTTTGCCTGAATTTTTTTTATCCCACTCAATCCTTGTCCTTCTTTACAATTTAATTAGAGCAATTTTTAAATTCTGAGTTAAAATTTTTTTTGCCGATCTTAAGATAATGCTTAAAATAGTAATTAATTTTTAGTGGTCGGTAATTTTGAAAAAGGATTATAAAAATCAGTCATGATGATTTTTTTCAAATGTAGTTAATTTTTTAGTGGTTGATTAATGAATTTGAAATGAAAAAAAAAGCAAATTAGGTAATTTTTTTCAACATAAATGACTAGTTAACTTAAAGTGTTTTGCTAATTTTAATAGCAGATGATAAAAACCGATCGTATTAAAAAAAAACGTCGTTAACTTTTAGTTGTTAATTTTAAATTTGATTGATAAAAATTTGTCGATTATTGTCACAATTTTAATAATTAAAAGTAATAAATTTAAAATACTCTATAATTTATAATTCTCTATAATAGTAAATTGAAATAAAAATTGATGATAAAAGACCTACTATGTTGATTATTTTAAATAGTCAATTTTGAGTGGGTGGTTGATAATTTTATGAGTGGGTGACAAATAATTGATTACATTAAATGAAAAAAAAAAAGTTTTATTTTTAGTAGTAGCTATTACAAGTGGGCCATTATCTTCTAGTGGTTATTATGATCGACATAACGTTAACGACAATTTCTCCTTTTATAGCTTTATTCTAATAAACCAGTTTTTCTTCATGCCTTATAAAGGAAATGCAATAAAACACCAACAAATACCAATCAATCTCGGCATTTCCGACAGTTAGGGTTTGTTTATAAGTATGCATTACTCATCATTCAGCGAAACATCTTTGCTGTTTTTACTGATAAAAAAACCCTTCTCTGCATTCAGCTTAATTATTATCAAATTTCTGTTTAAATTTCGAGATGTTATTTGAAAAATGAGTTGATGAAACGAAGTGAAATAACTATCCAAATTAATACGCAATGAATCATTGAGGATGAAGTTGTATTTAATGGCCGCGCTGTTTAAATAGATCATAAAATGATGGATTTTTCCTTGATTGTACGTAGTTTTGACAACCAGTTTCGACGACATTGCTGTTTAAGTCTGATCTAGGGCAAAATTAATGGTCGCCATCGTTCAGAGGGCTACTAAATATTAAAAATGGCGATTACAATTTTTTTTGTAAATCGCCAAATTTTTTTTTTCATTCTAAAATGCACCCTTTGTGCTCCAAAAACAGATTTTTAAATTCTGATAATATTTATTCCGGAGATGCGATGGCTCAGTAGGGATAGAGAGTTCGCCCTCCAATGAGGTGAACCGGGTTCGAATCCCAGCGATGGCTGGTCGATACGATTCCGCCTCCAGCTTGCACCGACGGAAATATCCTCAGTGGTAGATAGATCATGAGTTAGAGTTCCTTTGCCTTCAGGTTAACCGTGGGAGTTTTCGTGGTCTTCCTCCCCATGTAACGCAAATGCGGATTGGTTCCATCACAAAGTCCTCCACGAAGGCCAATTTCTCCCACTACTTGATAAAGGAGTTCCCTTGTCTTCTGGCTTGGGTTCAAAACGACAAGGCTACGGAGTTGAACATTAGTAGTCGTAAACCCAAACATTGGGTCAGCTGTTCAACTGCGGGTATAAAATAAAATAATATTTAATCCGAAAAAAAAAGACTATAAATAATTCACGGAGCGTTCAAATTATATTACACTGGTTCAAAATTTCAGGGGGTCTGAATTCTGCTATTAAAGTTTTCATTCGATTGCAAGTTAATTCCATATTACTCTTTTTAATTTATAGCCAATAATATATAAAATTATCTAATTTATGTAATTTCATCATCATGGTTACAGTTATTTTAGAATTGTTTCATTAAGAATAAATTTTATGTTTGTTCATAAACCTAAAATTTGTGTTGTATTATTGGTTCAAAAAGGAAAAAAAAATCGAACCCCAAACTTAATTAGAGTTTGACTGAAGAACATGAGAATCCTAAGAGAGGTTAGGAAAATTTTTCTTCATTTTATAAATGGACCTTATAGTGTCAGTGAAAAGTTTAGTGTTATTTCACCAACCCAATTTAATGGAAATGAAAAAAAGCAAATAAGAGGAAGTGGCTTAAATTTCAATTATAGAGCCATAATAATAATAATGAACTAAATATATCTTACTGATTTAATTTAAATTCGTCAAATCCTGCTTCCGAGCAAGTCCATTTAATTTAAATACAATCGACATTTTTGGTTGTATTTTTACTATTTTAGAGGAAGAAGTTAAATGAAAATGGGGTTTGTGAAGTTGAAATTCGAGCTTATTATGATTGAACTTTTCAAGGAGAAGGGATATGATTGATGTTGTCGTTTTGCAATTTGAACCCTAAAATGGAAAAGGTATTCGGAGGCAAAAAAATAAATTAGAGTTAATAGATTGAGTTCAGGGCAAACGGCTTTTGCAAATTTGAGACTAGTTCTACTATCAGAAACTCTTTTTTTTTTTAAAAAAAATTCAGTATAATTCATGCAAATGACTTATTATTTTCTTATATTCCTTCCTCATCCGATAATGGGATAGACTAGTCTGGATGATAAAAATAATCTTAATGTTTTGTCATAAATTTCATTAAGATATGTAAATAACTTGATGTAAGGAATTAAGCAAAAGAATTGAATATTTAAATAGTTAATTAAGAGATAAAGCTTAAAAGAAGTAACTTATGGCTGTAAGAAATAATTAGTATTTTAGTTGTAAAAATAAGTTAATAACTTATGAAATAAATTGTAAGTCTAATTAAACTAATGAGCAATTTATGGTGCATGTAATAGGAGTATTTAAAATTTTATAATAGTCGTTGAACAGCCGACCTAATTTTTGGGTTTACGACTACTAATGTTCAACTCCGAATCCTTGTCATTTTGAACCCAATACAGAAGACAAGGGAGCTCCTAGATCAAGTATTGGAAGAATATTGTCTTCGTAGAGGACTTTTTGATGTGACTAATCCGCATTTGCGTTACACGGAGAGGAAGACCACGAGAACTTCTCTCAGTTAGCCTGAAGGCAAAGGGACTCTAACCCATGATCCGTCTACCACTGAGGATATTTCATGTCAGAACTGTGGTAGGTGCAAGCCGGATGCGGATTTGTATCGACCAGCCATTGCTGGGATTCGAACCCGGTTCACCTCATTAAAAGGTGAACGCTCCATCCCTGAGCCATAGCGAATTTTATGAAATAAATTGTAAGTCTAATAAAGTTAATAAACAATTTATGGTGCATGTAATACGAATAAGTAACTAGGATAAAAAGGGATAAAATTCTAATCCGCCCTGGATAAGAATTAAGACAGTCTTTTTAAGATATAAAAATTCTTAAGATAGTATGAGGTTTAAGAAATGTAAGATAGTTGAGGGATAGATAGTCTTATTGAGAATTGAATCAAGACCACATCTAACACGAAACTATAGAGAAAGTAAGGAGAAAAGAGTTATTAATAGAGCCCGGATTTTGATGACCTAAAAAATCTCAACTAATGCCCTTAAAAAGTGCAAAAAATGCCCTTTAAAGGTGCAAAAAATGCCCTTAAAAGGTGCAAAAAATGCCCTTAAAAATGCTCTAAAAATGCGAAAATTGCGCTAAAAATGCCTTATGACATGAAATAATAAAGTAAAAATATTGAACTGAAACAATGTTTTTACTCTTTAAAATTATTATGAGTCATTTCAAAAANGCAAAAAATGCCAAAAAAAAAATGTAAAAAATGCAAATGTCATCAAAATCCGGGCCTTAGTTATTAATAAAAATCTTTCTTTTCCTGTCTAGGATCAACTGAGGCTGAAGATGACAGAAATCATGAGTAGAAATGAATCCTTCGCATCCTGTCCAGCACCTAACTTTCCTGCCATGGAAGAGGATTGCAAGGTATCCATATGCCATAAACATGCCGACTGTGCTTCCAGGAATCAGAGCTGCTGCTTCAATGGCTGTATTTTTACTTGCGTTGACAAGATATCACCTCCACCAGGTAAATAGTATGCTTTTACTAAATGCCACCGAAAAAAAATATTTTTTTACTTTGATTAGATCAAAAATATGAAATTTTTCATTCTGTTTAAATTTCAGTTCTGTATTATTTTATCCTTCCTTTCATTCTCCATGCTACTTTTTGCATGAATAAGCGAATTTTTTTAATTAAAAAAAAACAGTTTAACAGCTTCGGTGGGGAAAGAATTTTTCAACCATGTCAACCTTCATCTATCAATAGGTACCACAATATTGAACCAAGTTAGCATGTTTTACATACTAGTGTATTGATGTATGATGATTGTAGTGGTAATTACGCCACAATGCTCCCCCAGTAGAATTTTATCACGGATAGAATTCGATGAACGGATACCACTAGTTGCTGTTTTTGTGCAAGACCGAGAGAGCTGTGTTAAGTTCACCGAATTTTGAGCGCTTGTTGTCGGAGCTGTATTAAGTTGAAAGTTTTGTGTGTGGACTCTCCTGTGTTGCTATTAGCAGTCGAATGTCTGCTAGATCCAGTTGTGTGTAAATGAGTCTGAGAAGCAACAGCGCGAGGAGGACGATGACGCAGTCACAAAGAGCGAAGCAATTGTTCTGTGTGGACCATCCTTCAATGTTTGTGAGACTTTCAATGTAGGTGAGCTCATATCACGCCCGCAGGTCACCAATGTGGGGAAAGGATTTCTGGACAATACCGAATTCCATCTTCCTCTGAGCCGTGATGGCTCAGGGGATAGAGCGTTCGCCTTCCAATGAGGTGAACCGGGTTCGAATCCCGGCAATGGCTGGTCGATACGAATTCCACACCCGGCTTGCACCGATCACAGTGCTGACGTGAAATATCCTCAGTGACAGACGGATCATGGGTTAGAGACCCCCTGCAATCAGGTTCTCGTGGTCTTCCTCTTCATGTAACGCAAATGCCGGTTAGTTCCATTAAAAAGTCCTCCTAATACTTGATTCAGGAGTTCTCTTGTCTGCTGGATTGGGTTCAAAATTACAAGGCTACGTAGTTGAACATTAGTAGTCGTAAACCCAAAAATTGGGTCTGCTGTTCAACGACGGTTATAAAATATAATATAAAATATCACAAGGTACCTCAAGTATAATCGAGTTAGCATGCGTTATATACTAGTGAATCGACGTTTAATAATTGTAGTGGTAGTTACTAAGAAAAATCTGTCAGATTATCGGAATTATGTTTGTACGAAAATATAAAATCCAAAAACAAAACAGAAGTAGTTTTAATTTTTTTTCATTCATATTCAAAAATTTATCAATAATTGATTTTGTAAATTAAAGAAATTTCAATGACAAATAACTGCTTCTCTTAGATCTGAAACTTAGTGCTAATTGTATAAATTATTGTTTGGAAGTAAGCCGTATTTGGAAAGATTTTACCTTTAATGCAGAAAGAGACGCTGGTGTTACGTGCTGTATTTCAAAACCATAGATTATTAAAATGCTAAATTTTTCACTTATTTTGACCTAAATAAGGAAAAAGTATGAGAAATACATTTAATAAAAATTCTGTGACAGAGAAATAAATTATAAAATAGACAAATCCAATTGATAAAATATGCATGTAAAAATTACTCTACTTACTGATTGCTGATTTTTTAAGCGAATTTTAAGTATTAAACCATAACTTTTAAGAACAACGCGAAAACAGTCTTTCACCAAAAATATTAAAGTTGACAAATAAGCAAACATCTTTTTTTCCTTCCTCTTTATAAAGTCTGCTTGCATACAATTTTCCTCTAAATATGGCGTGTAAGAAGACATGGCAATAATATTTGATAATGTGTTTACTTCAGGAGTAAAACTTTTTATCAAAATTATAACAAAGAAAAGTACTGGTCAACATCTAATGACACTTTTCCGTTTTCAGTTATTGACTGGGATAATGAACCGGACGCTCCACCTTTGAGGAAAGAAGGCGAAGCAGGTAAGCATTTAAACTATCTGCATGAAATATTTAAAACGGGTTACTCAAGCAGTATTTTTCCGGCTTTTACTTCAGAACTACGGTATACTTATAACTTAAAAATATTTCTTGCAGAAAATGGTCTAATAATCAAAATGTATCGATTAATTCATTTATTTTCGTTATGCGGGTAGAGGAGTTTTTCAACAGGTAAGTTTACATAACTTAAAACACCACGAACAATACTTAAAACAAAACTGTTAACTTACTAGGAAGATGTTTGTGAAGTAACCATAGCAGGAGTAGATATCGGCAATGTCAGCTGTCATCTATGAAAGGGTATCCTATTATAGAATTGAGTTAACACTTCTTATATACTAGTGAATTAGAATTGTATTTTTATAGTGGTAGACACACTACAGTACTCCCTCACCAGAATTTTAGCTGTGATAGAATTCGATGAATGGATAACCCTAGTTGATTCCTTGCTGTTTTGTGAGAAGCCGGGAGAGCTGTATTAAGATCACCGTACTTTTGAGTGCTGATTGTGAGAGCTATATTAAGTACACGGTCGTAGTCGCTCCTGTGTTGCAATTAGCAGTCGATTGAATACGTTGTACGTTGTGTGTGATCGAGACTGAGTAGCAACAGCGCGAGGATTTGGATTATGTCACAGTCACAAGTAGCAAGTCGATTGCTCAATATGGACCGTCCATCGAAGTAGGCGTGTTCAATTCGAAGTGGGAGTTTCTGTCAAGTTAGGCGTGTTTACATCACGTCCGGGTCACCAATGTGGAGAGAGTAAATATCGGCAATGTCAACTGTCATCTATGAAAGGGTACCCCATCATAGAATCGAGTTAATACTTCTTATATACTAGTGAATTAGAATTGTATTTTTGTCGTGGTAGACACACTGCAATGTTGTGCAACAATATAACTTGGGCCCTCATCGGACTCATCGGAATCTCAATAAGGATATTTTCCTATATTGGTCCTATCGGGCGAATAGTCCGATATTTTACAACCACTTTACAACGTATCGGCTTTCTATAGAATTGTCAGATTCACCCGATATTATATTTTCATTATTCACTTCATATAGGTCCTACATTGGCCGTATGTAGGTCGATATCGGTCCTATATAAGACCAATATTAAAGAATCTAGACATCCCAATATTGGTCCCTCGGTGCGTATTCATATAGGACCCATATTGAGCCAAACCGGGACCAAGGTAAATTTGCTACTAGGATCGATTACAAAAGATCATACTGCTCGGAAGTCGCCAAAACTTGGCGTTTATTTTGGTGTTGATATTAGAGATGAGTTCGGGTTCACTATTGGAGGTTCAAGCCTCCAAAGTATTTTAATCCAAACCCATCCGAACCCGAGATACATAGGATTACTTAGAGCCCGAGATATGCGTCGGATAATCGTGTTAGAGCGTACTTTTACAAACAAACACTACGGTATATATAGGGGCTCCGTCTCTGCTCGCTAACACTCGCCAACCCCCAAACTTCATATCAATCCCGATGCATTGAATAATTACTATTTTTAATACCCGACTAAATATAATCTCTCATTATGTTATTTGAACTTCGTCAGTTAGCCGCACTTAACTATATCTGCATTTTGCTCTCGTCGACACTGCAGGAAATGACGTTCAATGCTTGATGGTACGGACGGAAAATCCAAAATGACTGAAAAAAATAAGCTAAAGATTTTAATTTTAAGCCTCAAAAAACAAACGCGCCTAACTGAAGTAGCATATTTCTAGTCTTTTATACCTTAAAATTTTTTCATTATTTGTACTTAATAACTGTAGTATACGTTTGTTAAAAAGTAGTAAAAAAGGGTTATGAAAACTTAATCATGAGTCCGAAATCGCTCAACCCCGAAACCTTTTTCAATGAATGAGCCCGGGTCGGGGTAGGGCTCGGGCTGAGCCCACTTTATCTCTGGTAGATATAGATCAGGGGTTTCCAACTTACATGTGGCCGGGAGCCGCAATTAAAAACACTAGTCAAATGGCGGGCCACAACTTTATCAAAATTTTATGTAGGACTCCTTTATGTTTAAAGGAACATTAAATATTACTGTCAGATTTTTATCAAAGTTTTTTTAATATTAAAAAGCAAAATAACAAGCACTGCAAACAATGCTTGTTACGTATCATTTTGAATCTTCTCTTAGTCAGAAACTTAGTGACAAGATTTTTTTTCTTTTAAATTTAATTCACGGATAAATTTAAATTTTTTCTCTCGACTTATTAGGAGTTATGGCAACAACAACAAAAAATTCTCGAGCATCTGAAATTATTTTTTTTCTTCTTTTCCGCTCATGAGATATTCAATTCAAGGAATATAAATAAAACACGATATTCATTCCCTCTTTTATGTGTTTTAAAATTTACAAATGTAAATAATTTCGTCCAAAATGAGTGGTTTCATAAAGTTAAATGGGAGAATTTCTTCAAGAATATTTCTGATACACACATGCTAAATTATATTCACAAAGTACAAAAAAACGAAATAAAAAAGAGCAATATACACGATTATTTTTTTATTTGAATAAATATTTTCTTGGATGCTAAACCTGAGAAATAAATTTTTTTACACCGTCTGCATATTAAATTTCACAGAAACGAAGAAATTAGGTTTTTTTTTTAAACGAAAGAAAAGTATTTGAAACCCATATATATCTTTTACGAAAAATGTTCGCAAAAAAACGACAACTAATATATTTTAATTCGCGGACCGGATGCGGACCTCTAGTTGGTAACCGCTGATATAGATACAGAAACTTTCCCTGATTTGTACTAAACCTTATAAGATTTCAGTATTCTTAACCCCTTAACGATCGGTTAATTTTCAAGAAAACAGTCATAAAAGTGCCTATTTTGCCAAATACACGTATTTGATTAGTGCTGACATCTAGTTTAAAATTAACTAACTACCTGCAATTACCTTAAAAATATCCTGGTACTGCCATCTGGTGTGTAAAATGAGAAATAAAATTTTTTCCGGGCAAAAGAAATGAATCAGTTTTATTCTTATTGGCACGTTACTACTGAACACTCCACCCCGGAAATTTCAAGGGAGCGAGAAATAGAGGGCGAAACCTCACCCCGTCATTTTCACGGGAGCGAGTAGGAAAGGGTTAAAGAAATCCTTGTGTCAGTAGATGAGTTGTGGTCCATAGCAGAAAATTTTGCGATCACTTTAAAAATGTTTAAAAATGTTCGATTGAAAATTTGATTGTGATATTTTAAAAAGCATTAAAATGTTAGCATGATAAAATCCTAAAGCATAAATATTATTTCTTGTCTCCTTTGAATTGTACTTTTTGAAATTAGTTTTAACTTTTTAATATTTTGCATCATGTGAATTTTGGGCTTGCAATAATGGACATATATTCCAGTTCTCCGATGTACCACGTCACCACGACCTGCACCATCTGAACCCGTTGGTTGTCCCGCCGGATATGTCTGTAGAATAGAGGATCACGGTGATGCCTTGGACAGGCGGTACAACTCTGGTATTTGTGTACCAGACTCAACACCTGATGAACACCTCGGTAAGACTTTTTATGAAAAGTAAAATTGATATTGCGATTATATTTTAAAATATATATTGAAAAATTTATAAGACATAAAAAAAAAAATTATTACTATTATAAATACTTCCTTTCCTATCGTGCTTGTACTAGCTTAGAACAATGAAACGGGTTTAAATATTTAAAAAAAAAACGTCAGAGGTACAAATTCTTGTGAGAGAAATTCCAGAAATAATTCGATTGAAAGTGTAAAATGTATCTGTTTTTGTAACTGGAAGATTTATTGCTCGGCAATGATAAGCCATATTTTAAATGAATCCAACTAACATATTCACATTTCTGTGTGCACTCGCTGGCACGGTACTGAATTACATACTAAATTCATTAATATTTTTTGAGAACATTAGGAAAAAAAAACATCTCTCGACACTAGTAACCATCTTTTTTTTAATATTTTATAACCGTCGTTGAACAGCCGACCCAATTATTTGGGTTTACGACTACTAATGTTCAACTCCGTAGCCTTGTAATTTTTCTGGATTGGGTCCGTAGCCTTGTAACCCAATCCAGAAGACAAGAGAATTCCTGGATCAAGTATTGGGAGAAATTTAGCCTTCATGGAGGACTTTTAGATGAAATTAACCCGCATTTGCGTTACACGAAGAGGAAGACCACGAGAACTCCCCATGGTTAGTCTGACGACAAGGGGTATCTAACCCATGATCCGTCTGCCACTGAGGATATTTCACGTCAGCGCTGCGGTCGCTGCAAGCCGGATGTGGAATTTGTATCGACCAGCCACTGTCGGGATTCGAACCCGGTTCACCCGGAAGGCGAACGCTCTATCCTCTGAGCCATCGCGGCTCAGAGGAAGATGGAAGTTAGCATTGTCCAGAAATCCTTTCCCAGCATGTAGATAACCACTGCACATGAACTCACATTGAGAAAAGAAATCCTTTCCCCGCATGTAGATAACCACTGTACATGAACTCACATTGAGAAAACACACCGTTACATGTCCTCTTATTGCAACAACTGGATAGTGTCACAAGTTCTGGAGAAAAAAAACCTCTCACCCGGACAAAGAATAAGAGTCCGATTGAAATTTGCAAATAAGCACGAAGCATGAATGACTTAAAGTTTGGAAGATGGTCCTTTGGAATGATGAATTCAAATTTTTTTTTATTTGGAAGTGATGGCCGACGTTTTAACCGTCATCTATAAGGCACCAGAATGGATTTCCGGTACCNGGGTTAAAGAAATCCTTGTATCAGTAGATGAGTTGTGGTACATAGCAGAAAATTTTGCGATCACTTTAAAAATTCGTAAAAATGTTCGATTGAAAATTTGACTGTGATATTTTAAAAAGCATTAAAATGTTAGCATGATAAAATCCTGAAAGCATAAATATTATTTCTTGTCACCTTTTACATTGCAGTTTTTGAAATTAGTTTTTACTTTTTAATATTTTGTATCATTTAAATTTTGGACATGCAATGATGGACATATATTTCAGTTCTCCGATGTACCACGTCACCACGACCTGCACCATCTGAACCCGTTGGTTGTCCCGCCGGATATGTCTGTAGAATAGAGGATCACGGTGATGCCTTGGACAGGCGGTACAACTCTGGTATTTGTGTACCAGACTCAACACCTGATGAACACCTTGGTAAGACTTTTTATGAAAAATAAAATTGATATTGCGAATATATTTTAAAAAAATCTATTAAAAAATTTACAAGACATAAAAAAATTATTACTATTATAAATACTTTCTTGCCCATCGTGTTTGTACTAGCTTAGAACAATGAAACGGGTTTAAATATTTAAAAAAACTGAGCGTCAGAGGTACAAATTTTTGTGAGAGAAATTCCAGAAATAATTGGATTGGAAGTGTAAAATGTATCTGCTTTTGTAACTGGAAGGTTTATTTCCCGGCAATGATAAGCCATATTTTCAATGAATCAACTAACATTTTCCCATTTCCGTGTGCCACTAGCTGTCACGGGACTGATATTTCAGTGACGTGCGAAAATTACATACTAAATTCATTAATATTTTTTGAGAATATTACGAATAAAAACGTCTCTCTAACCATCTCAGCAAACCATCTTTTTTTATATCCCTCGTTGAACAGCCGACCCAATTTTGGGTTTACGACTACTTATGTTCAACTCCGTAACCTTGTAATTTTGAACCCAATCCCGAAGACAAGGAAACTCCTGGATCAGTACCCCCAGAGGTATTGATTTGTTATGGGAGCATGGAGTAGTTTGTGACTCGACACATTTAACGCGAATCAGTCACCATTTACTACACGGGGAGTCTTCGGCCGGCCTGTGATCGAACCCACGATCTCTTGGACATTGGCCCAGTGCCCTACCAACCAGGCTATCCTGGCCTAGCAGCCATCTTTATTTTATTTTATATCCGTCGTTGAACAGCCGACCCAATTATTTGGGCTTACGACTACTAATGTTCAACTCCGTAGCCTTGTAATTTTGAACCCAATCCAAAAGACAAGAGAACTCCTGGATCAAGTAGTGGGAGAAATTTTGCCTTCATGGAGGACTTTTAGATGGAACTCAACCGCATTTGCATTACATGGAGAGGAAGACCACGAGAACTTCTCACGGTTAGCGTGACGGCAAAGGGACTCTAACCCATGATCCGTCTACCACTGAGGATATTTCACGTCAGCACTGTGGTCGGTGCAAGACGGATGCGGATTCATATCGACCTGCCATCGCCGAGATCGGAACCCGGTTTACCTCATTGGAAGGCGAACGCTCTTTCCTCTGAGCCATCGCGGCTCTTAGACAATTACTTGCGACCTTTCATGCTTTATTACTTCATTTTTGATAACAATTCCAAAAATGCATATTAAGAGCGGTAGTTACGGCACACGCTGTGCATAACATAGATAATCAAAATGTAAAGAAAAGGGCTTACTGAATCTCTATTTGACTCCTTTGACTCTGCATTTCTCTACCTCTTAGAATGATCTTTTTTTACAAACCTAAAACCTGACGCCCACGTTAATGTGTCATGCAGCTATTGTATTGTGTAGCTTTATGAGTCTTGTAGTTATGTTAATGTATCATTTACAGTGTTTTGTTGACCATTCATTGCATGATTTATTGATATAACATATTTCTGATAGTGTCTGTATTACGTTTTAGGAAAGAATGATCATGAGTCAGATCATTTAAAAGAAAAAACAAGAAAACAAACAGGTATTTCTTATTCATTTATTCGTTTAACAGAAAAAAGGAGTGTTTTTTTTGTTTTGTTATTGGAATATGGTTAAGGCAAAGCATACCATAAATTTAACTTTGTTTTCAATTGTTTGTTGAGGCAATTTCTAATTTATTCTACTTCTAATGGTGTTCCATTTTGTATTTATGACAGTTTCAAATATCAGTGCATGTAACAGGGGAGGGGGAGAACTCACCAGAAAAAAAAAATTCTTAACTGATAAAGAATTCGAAAAATTGTCAAACATAGTATATTTCCAAGTGACGAAACGCTCAAAAATAATGAAAAATGGTATTATAAATTGCAATAAATTTTTTTAAAAAAACTTTTATTTTACTTGCTGAAACGTGCTTCCAGAAATAATGATTTCAACATATTTTTGAATAGTGTATTTGTTCTATTTTTATTTAACAAGTAATATTTGCATCCTCAAAGATATGTAGTTGCTCCGTGAAAGAAGAATGAAGTGAATTCTTATACGTTTTGAAGTTTCACAACTACCTGAATAACCATATCTGTTCTATTCCTGAAACGAAATAATTAATTGTAATGTCTTCAAGCTGTTAATACAATTCAGTGTTTGCAAACTGGTGCATTGAAAGAACGACAGGAGATAAATGAACCGCCTGTCGAGTTTACTCAACAATCAGCAAGTGATGGTGTGGGTTTATTCTTAGTTGGGGAAGGGGGATTAAAATCTTCTATTTTTCAGAGAAAGCTCTTAATTGACTAGAGAATTACGCAATATATTTTTTCTACTAGTTATGTAAGCCTTTTTTACGCTTATTTTTTTTTAACGCTTTAATTATTTTTTACATTTTCAGCAATAAGAAATCGATAACCAATTTTTATGAATTTCTATGATAGCATACATCATATTAAAAAGCATGGTGAAAAGAAATAAGAAATTAGGTATTACCTGGTGGTCAAAACAATATAAACTGCAGCTAAAAACATAAATGTGTTTAATTGAAAGAAAAGTGATATAGGTATTTAAGTATTATTACTAATTGCTTTCATTTCTAGCAAAAAAAAAAAAAAAAGACGATAACCAATTTTTATGAATTTCTATGATAGCATATAACATATTAAAAAGCATGTTGAAAGCAATCAGAAATTAAGAATTACCTGGTAATCAAAACAACATAAGTTGCAGCTAAAAACATAAATGTGTTTAATTGAAAGGAAAACGATATAGTTTTTTTAAGTATTATTACTAATTGCTTTCATTTCTAGCTATAGGAAACCAACAACCGATTTTTATGAATTTCTATGACCACATGTACCATGTTTATAGCTAAAAATAATTCAAGGTGGAACGAAAAACGTGGTCCTGTTTATTTGAAAGAAAAACAATGGGAAATGAAAAAAAAAATACTACTAATTGCTTTCATTTCAAGCAATAAGAAAACAATTACCGATTTATAAGAATTTGTATATACTACGTTAATATTTAAAGCAATATAAGCTGGAGTGAAAAACATAGCCACTTTTTTCAATAAATGATTAAATTAGGAAATACGTGGAAAATACTGCTACACCTGTTTGCGTCATTCCTGACAGATGAATGTCAACACATATTTTGACATACAGTTTACCCCTCTTTGTTTAGACTAGTCACCATCTGTTTTTCTTTAAACATAAATCATTAATCTTTTCCTTCCCCCCCCACTTTTTTTCACGTGATGGCTGTCTTGATTCTGTACTGTTTCTTACAGTTCTATTTTCAGCACTACGTGTAACTTTTTTTTATTATTGTTAATGAAACTAAATAAAATTTTGGTCAAATTGAAATGCTTACGGGAATAATTTTATCTATTTTCCGACAGTTGATTGTTTAAAATGAAACCATATATTTCTTGTTGTTTTTCAAAACTGGATATTTTAAAACTTTTCTTTGATCCAAAAAGTTAGGTAATGGGATCAAATGATGGAACGTAATTTATAAAACAAATTTCAATTTGTTTTTCTTAGTAGGTCACATTAAAAAAAAAAAAAAAAAATTAGGACACATCGCCCAAAATTTCGTCGATGTGTTTTGAAAGTTTGCTTTTATCGTTTTTTGTATGACAAAACTAAAATAATTTTTTTTTTTTGCAAATCAACTTGAGAAATTAAATTTTGTATTTTTAAGACATTTTTGGATGTTTTAAGGCTATTTTTTTTTCTTTGCTATTTTAAAGGTATTTTTAGGAATTCTTTTTGGTCATCAAAATTCGGGCTCTAGTGATTATACACAGCTCATATTTAGAGGATCAATTTGAGGAGTTTGCGCCAAGCATTCATTCACATCTGCACGCCATGGCATACTGGCTAAAGATTGGCAAAACCTAACCTATCAGTCATGAATAACTGTTACAAATTACAACAGTATTAAATATAGCATATTATTCGCTAAAAAACATCACTTAGCATGACGGCAGAATTTTCGAAGAACAACCTTAATTCTATTTTTTAATCTATTAATCATTATTATCCACTATCTTAATTATCTACTAGCTCCTGAAATGCGCTAGAATAAACGTTATTTTGTATGGTGAAAGAACAACTTTAATTCGATCATTTAATCTATTAATTATTATTATCCACTACCTTAATTATCTGCTCGCCTCTGGAATGGTCTGGAATAAACGTTATTTTGAATTGTAAAAGCGCAACTTTATTTATTAGTCTATTAATCATTATTATCCACTATCTTAATTATCTACTCGCTTCTGAAATGCGCTAGAATAAACATTATTTGGTATGGTGAAAGAACAACCTTAATTCTATTATTTAATCTATTAATTATTATTATTATTTACTATCTTAATTATCTGCTCGCCTCTGGAATAAACGTTATTTGGTATGATGACAGAACCTTCGAAAAAGAACCTTAATTCTATTATTTAATCTATTAATTATTATTATCCATTATCTTAATTATCTGCTCGCCTCTGGAATGCTCTGGAATAAACATTATTTTGTATGGTGAAAGAACAATTTTAATTCGATTATTTAATCTATTAATTATTATTATCCATTATCTTAATTATTTGCTTGCCGCTGGAATGCGCGGGAATAAAAATTGTTTGGTATGATGCAGAACCTTCGAAGAACAACCTTAATTCCCTCTGAAGTTTTGGTTTCGAATCAAATCGTTTTACGCTGTGAGAGTGGGCGAAATATTTATGTTAATGTTGATTGACCTAATTTTTTTTCTGTTTTTGTTTCTCTATTATTGTTACGACGACTATTTTTTTTTTCATGCTTGAGGCGTGTTGGGATACGAATGAGAAATGATTTATATTACGCGAGATCTGTCTTTGAGTGTTATTTATATAAGTAGGCGAACCCAATGATCTTTCCCACCTTNCATGGTGTTGCATTTTCTACAAACAGCAGTTTAAGTAGGCGAACCCAATGATCTCTCCCACCTTGAAAGGTGTGATTTTGTTACCAAATACCAACACTTTTGTCGCCAATATTGCATACTTTATAGGCGATATGAAATTTATGAATTCCGGCTGAAACGAGTGCTTGAAATCAAATAAACTCATTAATACCAGTTACGAAAAGTAGTCTATATATGATAAACAGCTATCGGAAAAAGAAGTGGTCGTTCTTTTCTTTAATTTTTATATCAAATGGATATTTCTGCCTGTAACCACTTTAACTTTAAAAATGCACTGGTTTTAAATTCAGTAGCAAGTATAAATATTTAAATTATTCATATATTATTTGTAGACAAAACTAACTTGTTCCTGCAATGTAAATCCGATTGCTGAAACACTTCTACTACCACTTTATTCCTTTGGGAAAGCGGAAAGGTCCTTTTTAAAAGATGCTGGACACGCATGGGTTAATAGTTTCAAAATTTTAACTGAAGGGGAAAAAAAAATCCTTTTTGAAATAATATGATAGTAAATTTTTTACACAAGTAGTGGTGAAGCGGAAGTAAAATTTATAAATTTATGTTTTAATAATTTATAAATTTTACCACGGTCAAGGGAAAAAGGTTTCATTTAAAGTGTTATTATTTTTTTCATTTTGAGTGATAAAAATTGTGGCTTTCTACTGGGTGTATAAATTTAATTAATTTTTATTTTAACCACCACTACGTATGAAAAATCAACATAAATATAAATGCGTGTTAATTGTACGATGGTTTGTTTAATTTATGGAAAAATATATGAATATTTGGGCTAATAATTGGAAACCACTTTGGAAAATAATTTTGGGAAAGAGTAAAAGTTGGCAAGAATGGTTTGAGCTTTGCCGTTGTTTATGACATTTTCAATCTATATAAGTTATAAGAATAGTCATTAAATATTTTTTTAAAAATAATCCCGTAGTGGCTATAAAATATAGTCAAAATAATTCCTGCAAATAAATCGATTACGAAAATAGGTTGTCCATAATCGTTAAAAATTTAAAAAGCTATTGATTGATTTAAAGAAAAACAACATTTTTACTAATTTTTAAGTACCAAAATGTTTATGTAATTTAAAAGCAATATATCTAACTGTTAAACTGGCCAGCTTAGTTCTAAAAATTAAGGCGAAATTAAGACCTTTTGAAGCTTCCAACATGAAGTGTCACTAAATATTCGTAACCAATTTTTAAATTTTTTTGCTTACCTCCACCCGATTAACAGTAAAATTAGTCATATTTATTTTTATTATAAGCTTTGTTTCAAACTATTTTCAACCAAGAAATGCTATTAAATAATGAATAAAATGTACCTACTGCATGCAACCAATGATTAGAAAACTACTTATTTCACGTGTGTTTTTTTCAATGGTGCAAATTAGAAGTCAGGTATATGCTTTGCAATTACAACAGAAGTATTCTAAAACTTCAGTTGTTTTCAGAATTGTTGTAAAAGTAACTTTTTTTACAAAAGTCATTTTAAAAATATTTACTTATTTTTTCGTTAAGTTTTTAATGGGAAAATATAGATATAAATAGAATCACAAATTTTGTAAACTATTTTATG